CATAAATATAATATATATATATATATATATATATATATATATATATACATTATACATATATATTATATATATACATACATACATACATATAATTATAATTTATACATACATACATACATACATTATATATTTATATATATTTTATAATATATAATATTACATAATATATATATATAATTATATATTTATACATACATATTATATATTATATAATATATATATATATTATTATATATATATATATATATATATATATTATTGATACACATTGTGTGTGTGTGGACAATCTCAACAAGCTATCATTTAAGAAAGACAACCAAACTATGCTATACATAGATATTAATGAATTGGGTGTTAGATATCATTGCCATGTTTAATTGGTACAGATGTATGTATAATCATCAGGTACATGAAAACTCGAACCCTGTGTTTAAAATACAATAGGTATTGACCACATCCTTCGTTATACAATACTTAGGTGCAGTAACTCAGGAACATTACTCAAACATGCAATGCTATTTTTTTCCTCAACAACAGATGAAAAATAACGCTTATGAAGCAATGAAATGACTAAATTAAGAGAGAACGGGGCACGATCCTCCCCTTTAGGAATCCCGGGGCCAGGCGAGCGGCCGGCAAGCGCCACGGACTATCTTATCAGCAGAAAACACAGGAAGTGGCAAGTGCTCTGCGTAGAGGCCGTTCTCACTTTTCTTTGCCTGAAACTACCGCAGACTGAGAATCAGTGAGTTGATAGTCTAAGCCACGAAATCAAAGTAGAGTAGATGGTCATGGTTGCTGAGTTTAGCTATTTTTTTTTTGTAATGTGAAAGAGAAAAGGTAGTATTTCAAGTGCAGTGGCCTGTTATGTGCCCAAGACCATAGTGATCTGAAAAAAAGAATGGTAGTAGTGTTGTTTTTATACACATATTCTACTACGGATTAATCAGTGGTTTTGATTTGTATGCTCTACTGCCAGGAGAACACAAAATTACGGGTTAACAAAGGAAGCCACCCCCCACTGAGGTTGTTTGGTGTTTGTTTTATTTATATATTTTTATATTAGAAACTCACATTCTTTTTACATTTTGTTGGATTGCAGTAATCACTATGAGAACATTGGCTTTCTTTATGGATTGATCTTTATGAAATTAGGGTATTTGTTACAGAGAGCAATGTACCCTCCAGAGAATAAGCTCCCAAAACCAGGGTATTATGAGAACCAAAAAATCTAAACCTGACCTTTCCTACCTTCTATAGTTAAGGGGTTGACCCCTGAACCCTCCATTATAAGCATTTTGTGCCAACTTATAGAAAATGAACATTAAGAACTTTGGCTGTATGAGGGTGTTGTCAACTTAGTCTCTGAGCAGTGATATGCAACAAACATTTTTGTTATTTTACTTTAAGTTTAAGGGGGCCATTGCAGAAGGGGGGGGACAGGAGCTCAAATTGAGTTAGCTAGCATATAGTATAGATACGTGGATGAGGAAACTACCTAACGAGTATCAAAGCCCTGCTGTGGCTAGTTCTCTTGCAATTGACGCGAGACCACTAAACACCTGGGAGGTATGTCACTAATGAGCACCCAGGTACACCAATGTGGACTTTTGCTTGTTGCAATCATGCATATGGCATTTTATTATGACATTGCACATATATACGAGTTTGTGAATTTTATACCAACATCAGAAAGAAAATTATATCACTGATTATGACAAAATATTTTGTGAAATATATCTAAAAAAAAAAAAATGTAAGTTTTGTGTCCTTTTGCACACGAAATATGCTTTTATCAGGGCTCCCTGGTAATATGTTGTAGCTTGCAAAGTAATCTGCATGTATACTGAGTATGAAAATATCCGTATAAGTAATGATTGAAATATTTCCATTAGATTTCACTCAACGGCCGGTACATCACCACATCGGTAAATTTGATTTGATTTGAAATTGGTCGTTATTGCAGTAAAGGGCATTTCAATACCAAAGGGTACTAAAAGTCGGATTTTTGAACTTGGATGTATAAGTGAGATACTGATTATTCCATATTGAGCATGATAGTACACAGTAATACCCACTCTGAAATAAAAACTATATAGAATCTTGAACTCGTTTGTGTGCACAGTCTTCGTCTAAGCTATGTTCGTGCATTCCTGTTAAAAAATGTTACATTTAGACATTACTGTAGGTCTTAGGTACCATAAATTTGCAAATATCCAACCACACTGAGGTGTCTGCATGATTCTATGCACTCGTAGTAAAGATAATGGGTGCAAATGGCTAATTAACAACTCAACACTTGAACTGTATTCATGTTGACAAAAACTCTACGTTTGTGTCCCATTGCAATCTGTTACTATTGACAATTATTGAAGAAAATGGTTTGTAGGGATAACTAATATTTTATTCCTTTATATATAAAAGTTTATGTAGGCCTACAAAATGAAGATGATTAATTTTTTAAAACTTTGTGTGTGAGTTCATGAACATATGATCCTCC